GTCCTAGTTTAGTCCTGGTTTAGTCCTGTTTTAGTCTTAGTTTAGTCCTGGTTTAGATTAAATTGGTCAAAAATCGTCACATTTTCTTTATGTTTTGGTCGTTTTTAAGCAGATTTTCTGTATTTTCCTGAAACAAATGACAGTTTTTGTTTCTTTTTATCGGGTCAAATCTGTGGTTTTGTATAAATCTTCTGGGACTGGGGACACGGGCTCCAAACTGGGACTGTCCCGGGTCAAAGGTCAAACCGATGACCTCTGTGTTTGTTGACTAAACCGAGACAAACCGAGACAAACCAAGACAAACCAAAACCAGCTGTGTCATCAGAAAAGTAAGTATTTGGTTGTTTACCTTCCTGCACCTGCACAAACACTCGAGTGACTGGATTTTCTGAATTCCAAACTGGGACACGCCCGGGTTGAGATGGTTTGATGTAAATAAAACTGAGGAACTGGTTTAGACTCGATATAGTCCTGGTTTAGTCTCAGTTTAGACCTGGTTTACATCAAATTGGTCAAAAATAGGGACAAAATCAGTGGTTTTAAAGTCACATTTTCTTTTGTTTTGGTCATTTTTCTGTATTTTACTGACGATTTCGGCCCCACTTTATCATTGTCGGGGATCAGATTGGTCAAAATTTGTGATAGTCCTGGTTTAGTCCTGGTTTAGATGAAATTTTGTCAAAAATAGAGACAATTCTTGTATAAAACTGGGACAAATCAGTGGTTTTAAAGTCACATTTTCTTTTGTTTTGGTTTTTTCTTTTGTTTTGGTCATTTTAAGCAGTTTTAAAGTCTTTTCTGTATTTTAAGCAGCTTTTCTGTATTTTATGACAATTTATGCTTCTGTTTACCATTTCTTAGGATTAGATGAGTCAAAAATTTAGACAATCCTGTTTTAGTCCAGGTTTAGACCTGATTTAGTCCTGGTTTAGATGAAATTGGTCCAAAATAGGGACAAAATCAGTGGTTTTAAAGTCACGTTTTCTTTTGTTTTGGTCGTTTTTAAGCAGATTTTCTCTATTTTACTGATGATTTCTGATTATTTTTTATCATTGCCGGGGATCAGATTAGTCCAAAATTTGGGATAGTCCTGGTTTAAACCTGGTTTAGACCTGATATAGTCCTGGTTTAGATGACAACTAGGACATTTCTTGTTTAAAACTGGGACAAATGCTCAGTAAAGTCAAATTTTCTTTGTGTTTTGGTCGTTTTTAAGTAAATTTTCTGCATTTTACTGAAACAAATGACAAATTTAATTTTACTGCTGGCGTGGATCAGATTAGTTTAAATCAATTGGTTTAAATCAAATTTGCCAAAAATATGGACATTTCTTGTATAAAACTTGGACAAATCAGTGGTTTTAAAGTCACGTTTTCTTTTGTTTTGGTCGTTTTTTAAGCAGCTTTTCTGTGTTTTATGGCAATTTATGCTCTTTTTTTTACTGTTGCCGCTGATCAGATTAATCCAAAATTGTGATAGTCCTGGTTTAGTCCTGTTTTAGTCCTGGTTTAGTCTTAGTTTAGTCCTGGTTTAGATCAAATTGGTCAAAAATCGTCACATTTTCTTCGTGTTTTGGTCATTTTTAAGCAGCATTTCTGTGTTTTATGGCAATTTCTGCCCCTTTTTACTGTTGGCAGGGATCAGATGAGTCAAAAATTGTGATAGTCCTGGTTTAGTCCTGGTTTAGACCTGGTTTAGACCTGGTTTAGACCTGATATAGTCCTGGTTTAGATCAAATTGGTTAAAAATAATCACATTTTCTTTGTGTTTTGGTCATTTTTAAGCAGATTTTCTCTATTTTCTGATCATTTATGATCCTCTTTACCATTGCTGGGGATCAGATTTGTCAAAACTTGTGATAATCCTGTTTTAGACCTGGTTTAGTCCTGGATTAGTCCTGGTTTAGTCTTAATTTAATCCTGGTTTAGATCAAATTGGTCAAAAATAGTCAAATTTTCTTTGTGTTTTGGTCGTTTTTAAGCAGCTTTTCTCTATTTTACCTCAACAAGTGACAATTTATACTCTATTTTTTTATTTTTTTACTGTTGTCAGGGATCAGATTGGTCAAAAATTGTGATAGTCCTGGTTTAGTCCTGGTTTAGACCTGATGTAGTCCTGGTTTAATCTCACCTGGGACATTTCTTGTATAAAACTGGGACAAATCACTGGTCATTAAAGTCACATTTTCTTTGTCTTTTGTTTATTTTTAAGCAGATTTTCTGTATTTTACTGAAACAAATGACAATTTATGTTCTTTTTTTTACTCCTGCCAGGGATCAGATGAGTCAAAAACTGTGATAGTCCTGTTTTAGTCCTGGTTTAGACCTGATATAGTCCTGGTTTAGTCTCAGTTTAGACCTGGTTTAGATCAAATTGGTCAAAAATAGTCACATTTTCTTTGTGTTTTGATAATTTTCAAGCAGCTTTTCTGTATTTTCTGACAATTTTGTCTCTTTACCGTTGCAGGGATCAGATTCAAAAATTGTGATAGTCCTGTTTTAGTCCTTTTAGTCTGAGTTTAATCCTGGTTTAGATCAAATTGGTCAAAAACAGTCACATTTTCTTTGTGTTTTGGTCGTTTTTAAGCAACTTTTTTGTATTTTACTTAAACAAGCGACAATTTATGCTTCTTTTTCCTGTTGGTATGTATCAAATTGGTCAAAAACAGGGACATTTCTTGTAAAAAAACTGGGATAAATCAGTAGTTTTGTATAAATCTGCTGGGACAGGGGACTCAGGCCTCAGGATTTTGATCAAATTGGTCAAAAATTGTCAAATTTTCTTTGTGTTTTGGTCGTTTTTAAGCAGATTTTCTCCATTTAACCGAAAACAAATGACGATTTATGCTCCTCTTTATCGTTGCCTCTGATCAGATGAGTCAAAAATTGTGATAGTCCTGGTTTAGTCCTGGTTTAATCTTAGTTTAGTCCTGGTTTAGATCAAATTGGTCAAAAATAGTCACATTTTCTTTTACATTTTGGTCGTTTTTAAAGCAGATTTTCTGTATTTTATAAAATTTATGCCCTTTTTACTGTTGTTGGGGATCAGATTGGTCATAAAATTGTGATAGTCCTGGTTTAGACCTGATGTAGTCCTGGTTTAGTCTCAGTTTAGTCCTGGTTTAGATCAAATTGGTCAAACATAGTCACATTTTCTTTGTGTTTTGGTCATTTTTAAGCAGCTTTTCTGTATTTTCTGACAATTTATGTTCCTGTTTACCGTTGCTGAGGATCAGATTTGTCAAAAATTGTGACAATCCTGTTTTAGTCCTGGTTTAGTCTTGGTTTAGTCCTGGTTTAGTCTCAATTTAATCCTGGTTTAGATGAAATTGGTCAAAAATATGGACATTTCTTGTATAAAACCGGGACAAATCAGTGGTTTTAAAGTCACATTTTCTTTTGTTTTGGTCATTTTCAAGCAGCATTTCTATATTTTCTAACAATTTATGCTCTTTTTTACTGTTGCAGGGATCAATTAGTCAAAAATTAAGATAGTCCTGGTTTAGACCTAATGTAGTCCTGGTTTAGTCTCAGTTTAGTCCAGGTTTAGATCAAATTGGTCAAAAATAGTCACATTTTCTTTACGTTTTGGTCATTTTTAAGCAGCATTTCTATATTTTCTAACAATTTATGCTCTTTTTACTGTTGCCAGGGATCAGATTAATAAAAACATTTTGATAGTCCTGGTTTAGACCTAATGTAGTCCTGGTTTAGTCTCAGTTTAGTCCAGGTTTAGATCAAATTGGTCAAAAATTGTCAAATTTTCTTTGTGTTTTGGTCGTTTTTAAGCAGATTTTCTCTATTTAACCGAAAACAAATGACGATTTATGCTCCTTTTATCGTTGCCTCTGATCAGATGAGTCAAAAAATTGTGATAGTCCTGGTTTAGTCCTGGTTTAATCTTAGTTTAGTCCTGGTTTAGATCAAATTGGGCAAATATAGTCACACTGTCTTTATGTTTTAAACAGATTTTCTGTATTTTGGCAAAACAAATTTCATTTTATGCTCCTCTTTACTGTTGTTGGGGATCAGATTGGTCATAAAATTGTGATAGTCCTGGTTTAGACCTGATGAGTCCTGGTTTAGTCTCAGTTTAGTCCAGGTTTAGATCAAATTGGTCAATAAATAGTCCATTTTCTTTAACGTTTTGGTCATTTTCAAGCAGCATTTCTATATTTTCTAACAATTTCTGCTCTTTTTATTGTTGCCAGGGATCAGATGAGTCAAAAATTAAGATAGTCCTGGTTTAGACCTAATGTAGTCCTGGTTTAGTCTCAGTTTAGTCCAGTTTAGATCAAATTGGTCAAAAATAGTCACATTTTCTTTACGTTTTGGTCATTTTTAAGCAGCATTTCTATATTTTCTAACAATTTCTGCTCTTTTTACTGTTGCCAGGGATCACATTGGTCAAAAATACGGACATTTCTTGTACAAAACCGGGACAAATCAGTAGTTTTGTATAAATCCGCTGGGAAAAGGGACTCCGGGCTCCAAACTGGACCCGTCCCGGGGTCAATCCGAACGACCCGAGCGTCCGACGGCTCCGCTTCCAGCAGCTTCTTCAAGACAGAAATTCTCGACCCGTATCTCCGAATCCGAACCTTTGTGTTCGTTTCGCGATCCCGAGCCGCTCAAAAAGTCCAGCTCTCCTCGTCGCGACCCGGTTTTCCCGTTTAAAAAGTGCATGAAAAAAAAAAAAAAAAAAAACACCTGAAAATGTCCAAGTTCGAGGTTTAACTTCACGCGGGCTCAAAACGGCGCCGGCGGGTCCCATTTCCGCTTCCGATCCTCCTTCTCGGGAGAACTCGCCGACGTTCCTCCTCCTCCTCCTCTCCCGGGAAGGTCGTCTCTCGCGGGATGTTCCTGTACGTTTTTGTTTTTTTTGGAGTCAACCTTTTCACGGGAGTCGATTTTACGCCCGAAACCGGAACGTTTTTTAAAAATAAAATGTCAAACGCCGCCGCCTGGGAAAGAATGCGGCGCGTGGGCGGAGCGGCGGCTTCACGTCGGCACAGGCCCGGAGACGACGGCGGCGGGAATGTGAGGGACGATGGTGATGGGCTCGATCGGCTCCAGGACGGGTTTGTACATGTGAACTTTGGGCTGGAACAAAAAAAGAGAAAAAAGAAAAAGAAGGAATTAGACGAGGGAAGAAATGAAATGATGATGAAATGAAAAGGTCGTGAAGGATCTGGGAAAACGGAGAAAATGTCCCGGTTTTTTTTCTTCATCCAGATTTGTGTCATATGTTCTTTTGTTTTTCAAAATAAAACCGAAAGTAAGAAAATGAAAAAGCTAAAGTTTTATTCATGATTTGTCTCCAAAACCAAAATGAAAAAAAAAAAAAAAAAAAAAACAGATAATGATTTGTTTTTTTAGATTTGATTTTGTGTTTAAATGAAAAATGGAAAAAATGGATAATGACTAAACCAGAACTAAACCAGGACTAAACCAGGACTAAACTAGGACTAAACTAGGCTAAACCAGGACTAAACCAGGACTAAAACTAGGACTAAACCAGGACTAAACCAGGGACTAAACCAGGTAACTAAACCAGGACTAAACCAGGTCTAACCAGGACTAAACCAGAACTAAACCAGGACTAAACCAGGAACTAAACCAGGTCTAAACCAGACTAAACCAGGTCTAAACCAGAACTAAAATCCAGGACTAAACCAGGACTAAACCAGGTCTAAACCAGGACTAAACCAGGACTCTAAACCAGGACTCCAGGACTAAACCAGGTCTAAACCAGGTCTAAAACCAGGACTAAACCAGGGACTAAACCAGGTCTAAACCAGGACTAAACCAGAACTAAACCAGGACTAAACCCAGGACTAAACCAGAAAACCAGGTCTAAACCAGAACTAAACCAGAACTAAACCAGGACTAAACCAGGACTAAACCAGGATAAACCAGGTCTAAACCAGTCTAAACCAGGACTAAACCAGGTCTAAACCAAAACCAGTTCCTGGTCTCAGTCCAGTCTCACCGGGACTCAAACCGGAGCATTCTGGGACTAAAGACCAGGACTGAGAGGTTTAGTCTTGGTTTAGTCCCCTGGTCCAGGTCCTGGTTTTAGTCCAGACCTGGTTTAGTTTCCGACCTGGTTTAGTCCTGGTTTCAGACCTGGTTTAGTCTTGGTTTAGACCTGTTCAGACCTGGTTTAGTCCTGGTTTTAGACCTGGTTTAGACCTGGTTTACCTGGTGGTTTAGACCTGGTTTAGTCTGGTTTAGACTGGTTTAGACCTGGTTAGACCTGGTTTAGACCTGGTTTAGTCTTGGTTTGTCCTTGGTTTAGACCTGGTTCAGACCTGGTTTAGTCTGGTTTAGTTCTGGTTTAGACTCTGGTTTAGACCTGTTTAGACCTGGTTTAGTCCTGAGTTTAGTCCTGGTTTAGACCTTGGTTTAGTCTGGTTTAGGTCCTGGTTTAGACCTGGTTTAGACCTGGTTTAGACCTGGTTTCAGACCTGGTTTAGGTTTACTTGGTTTAGTCTTGGTTTAGACCTGGTTCAGACCTGGTTTAGTCCTGGTTTAGTTCTGGTTTGACCTGGTTTAGACCTGGTTTAGTCCTGGTTTAGTCCTGGTTTAGTCCTGGTTTAGTCCTGGTTTAGTCCTGGTTTAGACCTGGTTTAGACCTGGTTTAAGACCTGGTTTAGACCTGGTTTAGACCTGGTTTAGTCTGGTTGGTTTAGAGGTTCCTGGTTAGACCTGGTTTAGACCTGGTTTAGTGGTTTGACCTGGTTCAGTCCAAAATCAAAAACTGAAAAAAAAAACAAATCTTTATCTGTTTTTTCATTTTGGTTTTGGAGACAAATAATGAAGAAAATATTTATTTATTTTTTCCCATTTTCTTATTTTTAGTTTTATTTTGAAAAATGAACGATTAACTCCTCTGGCCTTTTTTTTTTATTTTAAACAACACCTCAAACTGGATTAATAACGTAGTTTTGTGGCTCATTATTTGCGAAGGTCAAATTCTCTGGATAATACAGATAAGACGCCGCAGTTTAAACTTTCACCTTTACGAGAGGAGATTGATCGTTACTTTTATTTTATTTTTTATCTCCGTCTGTCACCGTCGGTCTGTTTTATTGGCCGTTCAAAGCTGTAAGTTCTGGAAACACCCACAGTTTTATCAGAAGTAACTCCCCCTTCACCTCTGCTCCATAAAAGCAGCGGAGCGTTCAGATCCTGGAGGAGTTCACACGACTCACAGCCAGAAGGAACATTTACAGATTTACTCATTCACGACGCAAAATTTAACCCCTGTGAGCTTTAAGTTTATGTTTTTTGTTTTTTTTTTTTTTTTTTTATAATTTGTCACATCCACAATAAGACAGACTTAACTAAACACGCATACAAAAAAAAAAAAAGAAAAAATAAATAAACAATAATAATAATAATAATAATAAATAATAATAATAATAATAAGGATAAATAAATAAAATAAATCAATAAATCAATAATAATAATAATAATAATAATAATAATAATAAATAATAAATAATAATAATAATAATATAATAAATATAATCAATAAATCAATCAATAATAATAAATAAAAAATAATAATAATAATAATAAATAATAATAATAAGGATAAATAAATAAAATAAATCAATAAAATAATAATTAATAATAATAATAATAAATAATAATATAATAAATATAAATAAATAAAATAAAATCAAAATAAAAAATAATAATAATAATAATAATTATAAGGATAATATAAATAAATAAAAATAAATCAATAAATAATAATAATAATAATAACAATAATAATACCCCCCCCCCCCCAAAAAAAAAAAAGTTTATGTTTTAATGTGTCCGCATCTTCTGGTACCAATTTTATATCTCTGTCTTCATAACTTTATAAGAATTGACTTTTGTTTTTTCGAAATAAAACCAAAAATAAGAAAACGAAACAACAACAAAAAATAATAATAATAATTTCTTCGTTATTTGTCTCCAAAACCAAAATGAAAAAAACAGATAATGATTCAGGGTTTTTTTGTGTTTAAATGAAAAATGGAAAAAACGGATAACGGACTGAACCAGGACTAAACCAGGACTAAGCAGGACTGAACCAGTCTAAACCAGGTCTAAAACCAGGACTAAACCAGGTCTAAATCAGGACTAAACCAGGACTAAAGGACTGCCAACCAGGACTGGAACCAGGACTAACCAGAAACCAGGACTGAACCAGGACTGAACCAGGACTAAACCAGGTCTAAACCAGGTCTAAACCAGGTCTAGCAGGACTAAACCAGGTCCTAAAAGGTCAGGTCTAAACCAGGTCTAAACCAGGGTCTAAACCAGTCTAAACCAGGTCTAAAACCAGGTCTAAATCTAAATCAGGACTAAACCAGTCTAACCAGGACTAAACCAGGACTAAACCAGGACTAAACCAGGTCTAAACCAGGACTAAACCAGGAAACCAGGGTCTAAACCAGGTCTAAACAGGACTAAACAGGACTAAACCAGGACTGAACCAGGACTAAACCAGGTCTAAACCAGGACTGAACCAAGTCTAAACCAGGCCCAAGTCAGGACTAAACCAGGTCTAAATCAGGACTAAAATGGGTCTGAACCAGGACTGAGACTGAGACTGGGACCAGGACCAGGACTGAGACCAGAAATGAGACCGGGACTGAGACCAGTTTAGTCCTGCTTTAGTGGGTTAGTCCTGGTTAGTCCTGGTTTAGTCCTGGTTAAGTCCTGGTTAGTCCTGGTTT